AAGTGGAGGCATGTATTAAGGTGAAAATGTAGGGAGGCAAATTTGGCGGACGAGCAAGATCTCTGAGGCAAGGACCAAAAACCGTGTTAGAGTATGTTGGGATGGTGCAATCCAGCCGATTGCCCTAAAGCTCCATATGACTTTCCCCCCATAGGGATACGTTTCTTCCTCCGTGAAATAAGGATCCCATGGTTCGTAATTACCGTAATTAGAGGGGACTTGAACCTCCAATCCCCCTTCAGATTCAACCATCAAGGTGGTTGTGTTCTCTTAAGTGTCAACTGATAAGTCTCTCTCCATGTCATGGCGAACCTCGACCTCTGAAGGAGCCATAAGTGTTGTCCCATGCTCCTTAGATTGGGTCGGAGTGTTTTGTGCCCAATCATTCCACACTTGAAGCATAATTTAATAATACCATCACACTCCACAGGCTGCAAAAAGTAACCTTGAAGACCTTGGATCCAAACTCCAGTAGGCAATTTGAGGGAAGATTAATCTGGATGCATGCCCGAGCACGAGCACATCTCACCCACATGCTAGTTTAAGCATCTATCCAACAAAATTGGCTGATCATCATTGCAATACGATTGATATGCTGCTTGTCCCAATAAAGCAAAGGCAAATGTGGGAACCAAACCCAAACCAGTGAGAACAAACCTTGTAGAGAAGTTCGCGAGAAATCTAGCAACCATTTCGCCATGGCATCCAAGCATCCAAGGTTCCCAAAAAAAAATATCATCCATTGCTTCCAAGTGCTCAAAGATGCAAATAAAGCAATCCGGATTGATCATGATCGATTGGAAACTTCCAAATTGTTGCCATTTGCGTCAAAGCCCCTTCTCTAAGATCGAAAAGGGGAGCTTTTTTTAAAAGTCTCCTAACAAGTGCTCCTTCAAGCTTGGATAAGCTTTCGAGGACAACCTCTTCATTCGTGCAAATGGTCACACCATCTTTGGAGATGTATGATGTCCTTGACATGATCAATCTTGACATGAACCAATTTGGCCCCTTCATTTTGACTAAATCCACTTGGATTTGCTGCATTTTGCTTGCCAAAAGCTGCATGATTAGTAGAGGCACTACGCCAAACACCTTATGTGCATGGAGAAAAAGTTCCTTTCTGAAGGAATTGGCGGTAGATATTTCTACACCTGCCAGAAAAGCACCAAACTCCACATTTTGCTGCCCAAAATCATCATTCCTACTTTTAGGAGTTGTCAAGGCATTCAACCAAACATCTTGGATGCATTGGCCTATGTGTCGGCTGCAAGCTCTGGATTTGCTGGCTGCAGGCTTCACCTAGGGGGAAAAGGCCTTTCGTCAAAAACCTGAGATCCAGCTTTGGGTGCCCGCACATCATTTGTGTGTAGGTGCCCACACGTCAACGCTCAAGTGAGTGCAAATGCACGCCCATGACTGCAGGCTTCACCCCAGATGTAAGTGGCATTTCGTCGAACACCTAAGATCCAGTTGTGGGTGCCCGCACGTCAATGCTCAGGCGAGCGCAAATGCATGCCCATGAATTGGATTGGACCCAGTTTTGCCAAAAACTGCCCAAAATCACCGGAAATTGCAGAACATGCAGTTTTCACTCCCAAAAACCCATGGACAGCGAATCACCACCAATATACCACTTCTCCTTGTCATTTCTATCAACTTCAATGGTACCACCATCAATCTCCTCTTCCTATAACCCTCTCCTTGACATTTCTATCAACTTCCATGGTACCACCGTATCAATCTCCCCTTCCAATGTGGCTTTTGCATCTCGATGTTTTGTCAAGCCATCAATAATGGCCAAAACTTGCACTTTTGCCTCATCTCCTGTATGTTTGAAATTTACACCTTCAATGCTAAAATCACCACTACTCTTCAAACCACCTCCCTCGCCCTAAGAGGGAGGGGGTGATCACCGGCCACCCCCACCATCCTAGAGCTTCTCACACTAGAACCACTCTACAAAGAGAAAGAAGTAGAAAGAGATGAAAGAGTCTCCCAAATTATTTGGGTTCCATCTGAGCATGGGAAAACACAACTATAGCCCATCTAGAGGTCGAGGCTTACCATGACATGGAGAGGGACTTAACAGTTGACCTGAATGGGCTACAACCACCTTCATGGCTAAATCTGAAGGGGGTTTGGGGGTTGAGGACCTCTAATAATGATACTTATGGACCACAACTATAGCCCTTATTTCAAAGAAGATTTGTCCACCTAAGGGGGGAAAACCATATAAAGCTTAAGGGAAACCAACAGGAGCCCCACCATCCCGACATACTCCAACATAGGTTTTTGGTCCTTGCTTCAGAAATGCAGCTCCCTTGCCAAATTCGCCTCCCCACATTTTCACATCTACGCATGCCTCCACTTGTGAGGTAGATATACACAGCAGATCTAGCCAGAGGAAAAGCGGTGGGAGACCAAGCCGTGTTTAAAAGCCTCATTTTGACCTGGGACCTATTACAACAATTCCCAGGAAGTGAATACAACAAAGATCTTTCCTGTATCTTTCATCCACCCCTCGTTGTTTGTAGTCAATGAGACAATAACCCGCTTTTCAACCCTCCGCATCGATGGACACGACGAGCCGCTCTACACATCTGAACCTTGGTCGACAACCCTACTGATGGACTGGAGTTAGTACAGAGCGACACAACGCTCGACGCTTAGGCAGACGTGCCCTCTGCCAATTGGCTTTTAGATGCAACTTAGGCTGAAAAAGAGTTGATGGTCCATGAGATTCTGCAATTCGCTCCCTATATCACAATTTGTTGCGCTTTTATGCGAGTCCCGTGGGGCTCACCTGATCGGCGTGTGTTGAGTTAATCAATCGCACTGACGGTGTCTCCTCGAGCGTCGATCACCTAGGTTTTTGTTGCCACGGAGGTCTTCCGACAATTTTAAGCACTCTTTGACTCTCTTTTTAAATGAATTTTCATGGCCCAGATGTACTTGTTCGTCATCAATCTCTCACCCATAATTAGCCTTAGACAAAATTTATTACGTTATTACGGAAGCATTCCCAAACAACCTGACTCGCCGACGACGCTTCATATTGTATCAGGGTTCAAGCCGAACAGGGCTCTCACCCTCCCAAGTGCCCCTTCCCAGGGAAACTTGGCTTGGTTCATTGTTGAGGACGCTTCTCCATAATACAACTCAAGACGCCGCATGGCAACCCGATTCCCATGTTGGACCTATCCCACTTCGTTCCCCGCTTCTAAGAGAATCCTCGTAAGTTTCTACTCCACTTATTAATATGCTTAAACTTGGCGGATGATCTCCCCCATCTTGGGATCACATTCCAAGCCGCTGAATATGTGGCGCATGGGAAGGAATCAAGTGGAGGGTATAATCTTTCTCAGTTCAGCACTAGACAACACAGGCCTTACCTATAGCTTTCATCCAACCCTCGTTATTTGTGACCAATGATAGTGTAAACTGCTCTTTAAATTGTCGCACCAATAGGCACGATGAGTCACTCTGCACATTGGAGCCTTGTTTAGCGCCCCCACTGGTGGGATGGCTTGGCACAAAGCAAAGCAACGCTTCATGCCCAGGCAGGCTTGCCCTCAGCTGATTGGCCTCTGGCACAACTTGTGTTCAAAAACTTGATAGTTCCCGAGATTCTGCAATTTGCAACACGTACCACATTTCGATGTGCGCTTCATCGATTCGAGAGCAAATATATCCATTGTCGAGAGTTGTGTCAATAAGTGCAGTGCACAACACTGCTCCACACTATGGAGCCCCGACGTAGGGCATGTGTTTTTCAATAGTTCCTTTGGTGCAGAACATCGCCGGTTTGGGGTTTCAACTGTTCTTCATCACGGCCCCCTTTGTAGGAGAATAGGCGAGAACTCGGACAACTATTTTGCGGCAACGACCAGGTCGTTTATTTCACGGGTTCTCTGAATCTTTGAATATATTTTGGTTTTGACGATAAAATTTCCGCATGTTCAATTATAGAAACCTTGTTACAAATTCTCCTTCCTCTTAACTAATAAAGTTCAATGGACTTCTCATAGTGTCGCGGGCGACGAATTGCCCGCGACGTAGCAATCTGAATAGTCTCTAGATCATTTAATCAGAAGGAATGATGAGCAATGTGTACAAAAGATAGAGACATTGTCAACGCAAGCTGATGACTCATGCTTACTAGAAATTCCTTATTAAATGCCAAAAACTGCAATGATTTATCTCTATCACAATGAAATTTTTTAAAGATTACACAAGTATGTAGTTCAGGGCTATATATTTATTGAATACATCAATGTAGTGTGTGTGCGAACCTAGAACATCTAAGGACATCATAGAACTATTATTATCTCAAAGTTTTGTTTCCTAAACGGTCATAATTCCTCTAAGAAGCCGATTGTGCATGTTGAACTCCTCAAAGCTAATTAGCAGATTGAGGTCTCGTTCATTAACAAAATTAACCAAACAAATCACTCCACCATCTAAGAACAGTCATGCACCACTACCCATAGAATCAATAAAGAGCTCTCGGTCTGCCAATCATTACTATGTTTAGACCTGGTAAGTTTCCCCATGTTAGGTAAAATTAATTAGCATGCTGCACCCCTGGTGGTGCCCTTCCGTCAATTTCTTTAAATTTCAGCCCACACACCACCTTCAAGGAGCTCAAAAACTTTAATTTCTCACAAGGTTCACGCAGAGTCCTAAAAGTAACATTTGTCGATCTCTGGTCGACATCGTTTATAGTTGAGACTAGGACAGTATCTGATTATCTTCGAGCCCCCAACTTCTATTCTTGATTAATAAAAACATACTTGACAAACGCTTTCGTAACGGTTCGTCTTTCATAAATTCAAGAATTTCACCTCTAACTATTTTATCGCACGTTAATGTATCCAGAGTGTAAACTTGTTTTGAGGACTCTAATTTTTCCAAATCTAGGAATGTTATATGAACTTGAGAAATGAAAATACATGATGAAATCAATTTGAAATATAAAATAATTAAAAAAAAAATCTTACCTTGACAAAAATGCCTTCTAAATCTATTAGTAGGCCCATGCTCTTCCATCTTTCCCCCAAAATTTGCGTCAGCTCCTCAGATGGAAGGGCTCTTAGATGTTGACCATTCATCCATCTGTTGAAAAGAATAAACATTTATTAAGATAAGACAAGCAAACAAATTGTTTGATTTAGAAATAAACATCTATTTCTCATAATTTTAATTGTAAAAAACCCTTCATTGCCTATCTGTAATTCATGATATAGTCATGAGTCCGTTTTAAAAAAGGTGAATGATGTACAATTAAAGAGGGATCTAAAATGATGTTAAGCAAGTGGGCATTATTAAGATGTATTTGGGACACATTTATTTAGTAGGATTCTAAGGTAATCAAAGTAACTGCTGAAACAACAGAAAAAATTGCATAAACTATTGCTGCACGATGATTTGGAATCAATAATGCCAAAAGAAAATATAATACAAAAAGAGAAACCCACTCAACAATGTTGCAAATTCAATGAAAACAACACAAAGAAAAACCGATGGCCTTCTTTAATAATGACTATAAATTCAAATGCTTCAAAAATCATACACTTTCTAAAAAGCAGATTATATCAAGTTTGATTAAAATCAATTGATATGTCAAACTAATATGAAAATATAGATGCAGAAAGAATACAGAAAATGTTCCACCAAGAGGACAATTTTACTTCTGATAAATAATCATATATAGTCTCAAATTTGAAAAGGTAATGAATACTAAGATATTCAGGTTGCGTTTGGGGCAGAAGCTTATCCTGAAACGCGACCCGCAGGTTATTGAATATCAAAAATGAAAGAAGAGTAAACTTTTCTGCTTCAAAGTTGGATGTCACTACAAAGGCATGACATTATTTTATTTCTGCTCATCTGCTACCTACAAATCATTTGAGTGAAGTGACTCGAGATCGAGCAATCTTGAACTATTGCATTCAACAGTTCAAGCATATTGATATTGAAGCTTTGATTCATGGAGTTATTACCAGTTCGACCGTCGCTGCTACTACTGCAGGTTTGGGATTTGCATCCTTGATCTTTTTTTTATGCGAGCAGGCTGGAGTTAGGTTTGACAGTTGGGAGGAGATCTTATAGCCACTGAAACCCATTACCAGTGTGAATGTGAAGTGTTATTCATATCATTCTATTTTTGGCCAGAGAGGAGAATTCTCTAGCAGTTATACTGCTTCTACCTCACATGCTTCTACATCACGAGATTAGACTTCTGGATCTGATTCTCAGTCACAGTTATTATAGAGGATGTTGAATAATATCATTTATACCAATGAAAATGTATCAAACTTAAAAAATTTTGTTGAGCTTATGGATGGGTATATGAAAAGTCGTAGTGATTATGATGGTGAATTCAACTTAGCTATGGAAAACCTTATGAGAGGTAACCAGGATGTTGTATTTACTCAGTACCCCAGATATCCACCATATGAGCCTGCAGCTGTTTGGCGTAGTAACGATAATGATGAAGAGGAGAATGATGATTAGTTTGGATCTTTAGTTTGTTTGATGTTTTTAGTGTATGTGTTGTTATGAACTGTTGCTAGTGCAATTGTTTTGTACTTCGTGTTTTGTTTTTAGTTGTTATTGTTGAGACTGCTATGCGTTATTTTGTACACCAATTGTGATGTACTTGTGTTTTGTGAGTAGTTATTATGTTTAGTGGTAGTAATTGTAAAAATTATGTTGTTTAATGTATTTAATCTGTGATGAACTTAATTCTGGATCTTAGGAAGGTTTAGAGTCTAGCTAATTTTTACTTTTAAAAGCTGCATGTTTAAAATTTCAATTTACTATCAGCTATTTTTTTTTATGTTGCAGTCATGTATGTTTGTTAGTGTGTTTGTTTGTTTTTATGTTATACTCCACTGCATAAAAGTCTGATGATTCTCTATATGTTAAGAAAACTAAAACTTGATCAATTAAATTTTTACTTATGTTTTATTTTTAATTTGTACTTGCATATTAGGATATGAAAATTTCTGCAAGCATGTTATTTTTAGTTTTCATTTGACACTAAAATGTTTTATTTTTTATTAAAAATTTAAGTTTGAGGGATGGATGAAAATTTTTTTTAAAAACTTAAAAATTTATTTGTTCTTAAATGTATTTTAAATAAATTTGATTTTGATTTGAAAAAAATGATTATTTATATGAAATTATATTATGAAAGTAAATTATTAATATAGAAATGAGTAAGAGAATTTAGTTAAAATTTATAGTAATGAAGAAAAACTTAAAGTTAAAAATTTTTAATATGGAAAATGTTAAATATAGTGTAACTATCTTTAATAGGAAAAATTGTATTTTTGAAAATTTTAGAAGATTTTGATTTTTATTTTCAAAACTTAGATTTCTTTATTGAAATTAATTTTCAAAACTATTATTATGTTTTTAAGTGAAAGAAAAATATCAACTCTCTGATTTAGGAAAGGAAGAGTGAAATTTAAACCCATTAAAGTACTATCTAGATATAGTAATTATTGCCTAAAAAAGAAAGAAATGAAATGAAAAAGAAAAAAAAAACGAAAAAGAGAGAAGTTTGAGGATTAGTGTCTAATCAAAAATTTAGTCCACATCTGATCTTTTTAAAATATAAGACTTGAGAAACTCTTAAGGCTTAATGATATAATATAGTGAGTAAAATTATGCTTAATAAAAATTTTCAAGTAGAGAAAATAAAATACCTAAACTTTATATTTAGAAAATTTACAATATTTCTGAATTAGATAAAAACTCAAATTTTCATATTTCTTAACATTAAAAATTTATAAACTCTAAGTTCGTCTCATTTATTAATATTTTTTTCTAAATTAGACTAGTATATTTCTAGATCAAAATTTTGGTAACTCCTAAAGAAACTCATATACATCTATTTATGTTGGTTTTTAAAGATTGAAAGGTCACTTGAGAACAAGTAACATATCAAGTTTGAGGGATTTTGATAAACCTAAAATCTATAGTATTTTTATACACATTTTTACACCTATTTTTAAGATATTGCGTTTTAATGAAAGATAATTATAGTTTTTCTTTCAGGTACAACCAAATGAATGAAAAATGCTAAAAGAAGTGAAAAAATGTGAAATTTGGAGCAAAAATGAAGAAAGATGCAAAAATGAACTGGGGCGCCTAAGCGCCCAAGTCTGACGCCTAAGCGTAAGGTATCCCGCGCTTAAGTCTCAAAAATAGTTATTTGATAATTCATTGAATTTAGATGAATTTTTTAAGAAGTGTTTGAAGCAACCCTTGATAAAAACGTAAGAAATATCTCAAAAACCAAAAAATTATGCATCTTCGTTTCAGAAAATTTGCTTCCCTTTTTAAATCAATCTATAACATGTTGATGTTGTTAATTATGTTTTTCAAAGAAAAAGAAATTTTCCTTAAAAATTTAATTTAATATTTTCTCTAAAATCGCAATTAATTCTTTCTTTGATATTATCTTTGACCAAAATTCTATACCTTCACTTCTAAGGCATCTAATTTGATCAAAATCTCGAAATCTCTTATATCATGCCTTATTTATGTAAATATCTTTTTGACATTCCTTAGTGCTGAGCACATTATATAAATCATCAAAAGTTATAACTTTTGTTTTCCACTTGCACTCTTAATAAAATTCCTAGCTTTATTATAACTATTATAAATATAAGTAGTGTTTAATTTTTTTTCATTTTTAAAAGTATATTTTTTTCCTTGATGACCATTTGTATCTCTTCACTCTACCACCATGTCTTCTTATCAGTATACTATATATTTCTAGACTCACCTAAAACTTTTAAAACAAACCGCTTAATGGAACTAGCCATCTTTATTCAACATTAAATTTGGCTCTACTAAAAAATTTCAATTTGCTTCCCTTAACGACCTATCTTGAAAAACTAGCAATTTTTCAACGATCAAATATAGAACCTTATCCTAGAGAAGTTTTTTTCTCTCATTTATACCTTTAAGATAAATATCCATAACCACTTCTCTATACCGTGTGATCATACTCTTCCGAAATCACCAAACAATTACTGTTATTTCCTTCTAAATAAAAATAAGTCTATTTCTAATATGATGACTCCAATTTTCTAAGTGCCCTTCTGTTTCTTCAAATATGAGTTTGCTATTGCAATATTATAAGTAACATTCAGTATAATTTCTCCAATTGCACTTCTACCTCTTCCCATAGCCCATCTTAATGGAGCATATATGCACATTGAAATAACATCCTATAAATATCATTTCTTCTGTTCTTCATAAGCTATGTAGTATATTAATTCATCCATCTCTTCCCAAAATTGATCAAATGATGGTTCATCAAAAAGAAGTTGGATCTTCAATGCATTTAAGATCAAAATAGTTTAACGAAGTTCCAACATAAGATAACTGAGGCAAAAAGAAAACTACGGCATATAAACTAAAATGTATTTTTATCATTCTGTCATAACAGTCTAATTAAGAACACAATAATTTAATTAACAAAGCGTAATAAATTCCAATAGGATGAGAAAACAAGAGCACCTAAGGAACAGGGAATTCTATAACCAAGTTGATAAGAAGTTCACCACAAGCATAATTAACACATATAAACAAAATCTTTGGAAAGGATGAAGCAATAGAAGTGCACAAATAGTATAATTAGTTGAGATTTAGCATAAGAACCTTTATTATTTCTTACCTTAACTTCGTAGAATCAAACACTGCTCCACTCTTATTAACACGACTGATTGAGAATTTTTCGACTATTAAGAAAATAAACTCAAGTAAGATAAGGTGCTAACAAAAAAAAAAATAAACATAATGTTTCATGTAGGTAAAACATAATGAACATCACAACTGAAAATTTACCTAGCTGATCCATGGTGAAAAATTCATTGTCTGTTCCATCACCCCAACCTAAAAGTGCAAGATAGTTCACCATTGCCTTAGGTAGATAGCCCATCTCCCTAAACTGTTGGAAAGCAAAAAAAAAGAAAGGAAAATTTACTTGCATACCAGTCAAATCTAATGTATTTACATATTTAACACCTAAACTCCAATGTTTACATAAAAGGTATATTTCACTTTTTAAAAGTTAAAACGGTGGCATTTTTACGTGATGCGACAGATGTAAAAATTCAAATTTAGGTGCTAAAAATATAAATACATAAGAATTGGTCGGTATGTATGTGAAAGTTCCCAAAAAGGAACATAGTTTCGTATGAGCAATTGACAGCAGTGTTTAATATATTACTCCAAGGTAAATTAGTGAGAAATAACTACCTGTCCCACCGAAGTTGCACCGTGCCGTTTTGACAGTTTACTTCTATCTGGAGCAAGAATTAGAGAAACATGTGCGAATGAAGGCATGGTGAATCCTAGTGCCTGAGACAGGGCAAACGACCTTTTATATGTACAAATATATATATATATATATATGAGCAAAATGAGATTAACGCTAGGCTTTGATATGGAAAAAAATGAATAATTTCTACCTGGTAAATAAGAGCTTGCCGTAAAGTGTTTGGTAAATGCTCCTCAGCTCTAAAGAAAACATAATGATTATATAAGCCGCCGAACCATCTTTTAATCTGTAGAACAAATAACAATGCTTTCCACTGTTCTTAGATGGAGGATATGTTTACCTTATAACATGTGATATACGCATGGCAGCATCATCAACCGTAACACAAAAGTTATAAACAGGTTGGCCGTTACTTCTCAAAATCACGAAATCACCAAGCGTGTCTAAGCTCCAACTGACCTTCACGAAACTATCAGATTAATTAGAAAGCGCACCCAAAAAAGGAATATTTACATATATACCACTCAATTCCTAAGTCTCTACATATCTGAAGACCGAAACTTCAATTTTTACATGCATGCCACCTTACCTATGCATGAAAAGGTGTAAATATAAAAAGTTATGATGGTAATTTTGATGTGATATGAAAGATCTGGGTGGTATAAATGTAAAAAGTAAAGTTCAGGTGTTAGAAATGTAAATACATAGGCTCTGAAATGCACCACAATCATCATATGAAAACTTTAGAATATTTTTGTAAAAGATCATGTGTTTCAAAAAATCTCTACATCTTACTTCACCACGAATAAGGTCGTTAATTTTCAAGGTTCCTTCCTTTGGGACACGAAACCGGTATGTATAAGGTGTCCTCTTTGCCAGCTCTTCCTGAATTTCTATATCTGAAGCAGTGGCCCATTTCCCTGTATATATCGGAGGCAGCTGCAATTGCTGTGCACGTTCCTTCATTTTCTCTAATTCCTGGAGATAAAAGATAGAAAATATACCGAATGAATCTCACACAATAGATCAATTTCATAATAAAAAAAACAATAATTATATCAAAATTTAGCTTTCAAATGATAATGAACAAATTGAGAACTGGGGATCCAAAGTCAGATCAACAGCAATAGCAGTGTGTGTGAATCATCAGACTTAATAGAGAAAACATTTACATACATACCAACCAATTCCTATGTATTACATATCTAACACCTAAACAATTACTTTTACATTAATACCCCCCAAATATTTCATATCGCAACAAAAATACCGCCATTTTAACTTTTTGAAAATGAAATTCGCCTTCCACTGCATAGGTAAGGTGGCATGTAAAATTAGATATGTACATACATAGGAAATGAGTGGTATGTATGTAAATCTTCCATAAGAAATGATAGAAAACGGAAGAAGCAAAGCAATCCTGAATCCCAATCTTTCACGCAACTTCTATTTCTTACATAACCAACATCAACCGTCTGGCACAGATTCCATTGAACCAATGCTAGTTAATGAACAAAATCATAGTAATTTGAAGCTACTTCAATAGCTTTATGACCTGGGGCTGTCCAGTTCACGCTTGTCGACCAGGCGTGACAATGTGTCGGTCCAGCTTTCCTTGCTGGACTGGACCGGTTTAATGTATTAGTGTGCCAATTCATTTGCTCGGCCCTAAATTGTTCTCTATGCTCTCCGTCTCGAGCCATGCGCTCCGCTCGCCTCCTCCCCGGTGCCTTATTCTTCCGCCTCGCTCCTAGCCATTGCAATCCCTCCATTCTTCACCTTTTTCCTTTCACAGATTTTGCATTTGCTGTCTTCCCTTCCTCAACTATTTACGCATGCTATTTTCTAAGATCTAACCAGTTTTTCTTTGTGATTCATGATTCCAGGTTTGCCTCTTAGCATTTGTAAGGGTTGTATCCGACGGTGAGTGGTGCTCCGGCTGTACCTCACCTAAGGTGGTGATTATTCCACTCTATCATATTAATATTCCTTTCTATGCGTCCTCCACCACCTACTGGCAGCCTCCAACTCCCAAGCCATACTCCAGTCATAGCCCCTCCTTCCTGCGTCTCCTTCAGCAAGCCGGAGGATCCTCAGGTCCTTCCCAGTTCACTTCCGGTGTTGCACCCTCTTCCCACACCTCTCCAAGTAGGCTGCAGTACCTTCCAGCACCTCGCAGCAGTCATTCCGCCACAGTCTCCCTCTCCGACGCCTCTTACTGCAGACCACCGACCTCTCCAGACCCTCCAAACGCCACTTCGACCAATGCTAGTCACCCCAACGACCGTCCGGCTGCTGACAACTCTTCCCCAGCCTCCCCGGTGACTCCTCTGCCGCCGTTTGACGCTATTCAGAATTGTTCCCGCCCTTTTGTATTACTTATTTTATTACATGTTTGAGTAGTTGCTTCTTATATTATAGTTCACATGTTTGCGTTGTTTTCGTCTAAGAGTCCATGTTGTAATTCCTTCGAAATCAGTAATAAAATTATGTTTATTTGAGTCGTGATTTGGATTAACTCTGGTATTACTTATTTTATTACATGTTTGAGTAGTTGCTTCTTATATTATAGTTCACATGTTTGCGTTGTTTTCGTCTAAGAGTCCATGTTGTAATTCTTTCGAAATCAGTAATAAAATTATGTTGATTTGAGTAGTGATTTGGATTAACTCTGATATCATTTAGTATCAAAACTTGCCCAACCCTAGTCCCACCCTAGGGTCCCCTAGCATCCGCCCCCACCCAATCCACTCAATTTTTTTCTTCTCTTCTTTTCTTCTTCCATGTTTTTCTTCTCTTGTCTTCTCCTCCTATCGTCTCTTTCTCGAAAAACTTCCGACCAAGCCACCACGTCGATATGGGAATACAACGAGAGATTTGGGACCCAGTCCAGAAAGAAATACCCAGTCCATAAAGAAATACAACAATGACGGGACTCAAGGCAACGTTACTCTCGACCATCACATCGAGAGTCGAAGAGAAGACCACAACGCGACCTAAATCCGTTTCACCGCGAAGACATTAGTTACGACGAACGCCCACGCTGCTTTGGCATTTACTATCACAGAAGACCACGAGAGGAGCCCATGTTCAGCACACATCATGATTTCAGCAACAAAACGGACCTACAGGAATTTGACGGAAGCATGGATGACTTCATCTTGCAAACGATCAAACGTATCTTTGATTACGAGGTACGCGAGGACAAACGGGTTAAGCTTGCCACTATCAAAATAAAGAAAAGTACGTCATTATGGTGAGACAACTTGCAACGACAATGACAACATGATGGGGACGAAAAAATCACTAAATCGGTAAAAATGAAGAATACAAAGAAAAAAAAATACTTGCCGCCCCACTATCGCTAGAATATGTTCCTCCGGCTCCACAACCTGCAGCAACGTGACCTACGGTCGAGGGATTCACGGCACAATTCGATCATCTACAAATGAAGTGCGACCAGGTCAAGCAAGAGGAGCACACAATCACCCGCTGTCTTGGAGGTTTAAAACCCGTCATTAGCAAAATTGCATAGCTCCAGCCATATTGGACGCTAAACATGTCCAGACCCTCGCATTAAAAATAGAACGACAAAAGAAGCAAGAAAAGCCTCAAAATTCATTCCACAACAATAGAAATTCACACCATCACCTCAAGTCACATCTACAAACAAAACCACGTCGAAAGTTGGGAAGTCACTACCAGGAACCACAAAAACCACCTCGAGCGGCATGAAACTCGAGAAGGGAAGATCCTCTAGAACAGTTCCTACACGAAAATGTTTTAGGCTCCACGAATACAGCCACATCGCTGTCAATTGCCCCACCACCTGCGTTGCTGAAGGAGTCGTCGAGGAAGTCGAGAAAGTCGACGAAGCCCGATCCGAGAATGGTTCAGATGAAGCACTGCCCATCACCAAGGACGAAGACAAACCATCAACCATACAGCGGGTCCTCCAGTTAAAACCCGACAGAGACCCTTCATGGCTATGATACAACATCTTTCGTACTACATGCACCGTTAGGGCAAAATCTACAGTTTAATCATCGATAGCAGTAGTTGCGAAAACATTGTATCCACCCTAATGGTCAAGAAGTTGGGTTTAGCCACACAAAAACAACGACGATCCCACCTCGTTCAAAAAAAGGGAACGATATTCGCGTTGATAAATAATACTTGGTCAAATTCTCCATCGACAATCAACTACAAGAGCAAGTTTGGTGCAATGTAGTCCCAAAGGCCACATGCATATTCTTTTTGGGGAGACCATGGCAATTTGACTGAATAATGCAACACGATGGCTTCAAGAACACCAACGTCAGGTGCAGAATCTTGTAAAGAGAGGATTAGTACCCGACAACACCCGTTCATGTGTTGTCCACACCCTCATAGTACCCAAGAAAGATGGCACCTGGTGAATGTGCATAGATAATCGCGTCATTAATAAAATTACAATCAAATATCGCTTTCTCATACCGCAACTAGATGATCCTTTATATCAGTTGTATGACGCTATCGTTTTCTCAAAAATTGTCCTACGGAGTGGATATAATTATAATAAAATACGATTGTGAGATGAGTGGAAGAACGCCTTCAAGACTCGGATGGTCTTTATGAATGTACAATCATGCCTTTTGGTCCAACAGCCAAGCACCTTCATGCGCTTAATAAATCAAGTCTTTCGAGCCCCATATTGAGAGCTTTGTTGTGGTCTACTTCGATGATATTTTGGTTTATAGTAAAATCGAAGAAAACCATCGGCAGCACCTGCGGGCGATATTTGAGGTCTTACAATCCGAACAAATGTATGCCCAACCCAAGAAGTATCGCTTCCTCACAAATCAAATATGTTTTGGGCTACATTTTGTCTAGCATGGGATCCAATTGGTCCCAACAAAGATCGAAGCAAATGTAAGCTAGACAGTGCCGCAATCCTTCACCGAGCATCAACAAGTTTTAGGGCTAGCCACCTTCTACCCCCTCACAGAGTTGTTAAAATGAAAAAAAATCACATGGACGGTCACAAACCAGACCAGCTTCGACATATTGCGAGAAAATGTCACTCAAGCCCCAATTCTTGTCTTACCTGATTTCAACCGACCATTCGAGTTTGAGTGTGAAGCATCCGGAGTAGGCATTGGCGTTGTACTAAGACAAAGTGGTCACCCCATTATTTGTTTCAGCAAAAAAATAAATGAGATTCGGTGAAAATACTTCACCTACGACAAAGAATTTTATGTCATTAGTAGAGATCAAGAACATTGGAGTCATTACCTACTCACAACTGAGTTCACCCTCTTCAAAGATCATGAAGCACTAAGATTTTTAAACAGTTAGAATAAACTCAAAGGGCGTCACGCTACATGGGTAGAATTCTTAGCTTATTTTCAATTTATACTCAAACACAAAGCTGGGAATCACAACAGCGTCGCAGACGCTCTAAGTCATCACCAATTGATCACATTATTGCAAGCACACATGGTGGGCTTCGAAGTTATAAAAGACTTATAATAGACCGATGAATACTTCAAAGAAATCTAGAAATAGTGTCGGGTGAAACCTGACGAGCAGTTCTACAAAACGGAAGGCGACTTCTTCTGCCCCAACAAATTATGCATTCCCCGATGCTCACTATGCGAAGCTATCATCCAAAAAAACAACAATAGCAGATTGTTCGGCCATTTTGGCAGAGATAAAACTCTCGCACATATTTTTGGCGGCCCCAACTAACACGAGATGTGAAACGACAGATCTGGCAATGTAAGATTTGTCATATCGCCAGAACACATGACCAAAATACAGAATTGTACACAAATTTACCAGCCCCTGAAACGCCTTAGGTCGATGTCAGTATGGACTTTGTCATAGGAATACCAAACACAAAAAGGAATAAGAATTTTATCATGTAATAGTTGATCGTTTCTCCAAGAAGGCACATTTCGACACCTGCCACCAGACGTTAAATGAATCTCATATTGTCAACTTGTACTTCCGCCAGATCGTTCGGCTTCATAGCATTCCCAGGATCATTACATCCGATCGGAACGTTAAATTTTTGAGCTACTTCCGGCGAACCCTCTAGAGCAAATTAGACACTATTCAATTCTACAACAAACTCTCAGACAGATGGATAGACCGAAGTAGTTAATAGGAGCCTTAGGAATCTTCTTTGATGCTTTGTAGGGAAAAATATCAAATAGTGGGATCTCATTCTCTCTTAAGCCGAATTTGCCTACAATAGATCAATAAGTCAGATGACGTGACACACGCCATTCAAAATTATGTACGGTCGCAACCCGATCACACTTCTCGAGTTGGTCTCACTTTTACCCCCAGTAGAGATCAGCGAGGATGCTACAAATTGTGCTTCCTAATTCAACAACTCCACGAGGAATTTGGTAAAGCAATTTCTAAGCAAAATCACAAATATCAAACAAAAGCAAACAAGTCCAGGAAATAGGTAACATTTCAAGAAAGCGACCACGTATGCATCTATATAAAGAAAGAATGATTTCTTGTAAGAGCTTACAACAAACTCAAGCCGACTAAACGACAACACATACAAATTTGACCTACCAGGAGACTCCAAAATTTCAGCAACATTCAATGTCGCGGATCTCACTCCATACTACGGGGAACCGGAAGCTTCGACAGATGATGTCGAAGCTCTCACAATGTCGGGGGATTAACATGGGGTTATTCAGTTTAAGTCGGTCGACAAGGCGTGACAATGCGTCAAACCAGCCTGTCTTGCTAGATCAGACCAGTCCACTGTATTAATGTGTCAATTTATATATTCTGCCCTAAATCATTCGCTTTGCTCTCCGCCCTGAGTCATGCGCTCCGCTTGCCTCCTCTCCCATGCCCTATTCTTCCGCCTCCACTCCTAGTTGTTGCAATCCCTCCATTCTTCACCTCTTTCCTTTCTCAAATCTTGCCTTTGTTGTCTTCCCTTCCTCTCCTATTTATGCATGTTATTTGTTTAGATCTAACCAATTTTTCTTTGTGATTTCTGCTTCCAGGTTTGCCTCTTAGCATTTCCATTGTAAGGGTTGTATCCGCGATGAGAAGTGCCCTGGTTGTACCTCACTTGAGGTGGTGATTACTCCACTCTATCATATTACCATTCCTTCCTACGCATCCTCCAGCACCCGCAGGCACCCTCTGACTCTCCCCAACTCCAATCGCAGCTCCTCCTTCCTGCGTCTCCTCCAGCAAGCTGCAGGATCCTCAGATCCTTCCCAGCTCACTTCCGGCGTTGCACTCTCTTCCTACCGCTCTCCAAGTAGGCCGCAGCACCTCGCATAAGTCAATCCACCATTGCCTCCCTCTCCGTTGCCACCTCAGGCCACTGACATCTCTAGACTCTCCCAGCGCCATTCCAACCACCGTCAGTCACCTCGACGATCTTCCTGCCGCTGCTGACTCTTCATCAGCCTCCCCGATGACTTCTCTGTCGTCCTCCAACGTTGTCCAGGAATATTCCCGCCCTTTTGTGTTACGTGTTTTATTACTTGTTCGAGTAATTACTTCTTATATTATCGTTCACATGTTTGTGTCATTTTCGTCCAAGAGTCCATGTTGTACCTCCTTCAAAATTAGTATAAAAATGGTGTTGTTTTGAGTCGTGGCTTGAGTTAACTCCAGTATCACTTTATAAAGAGAAAAAAACAAATAAAACAAAATGCAAACTCAAATAACCCTGATGCGAAAAGGATAAAGAGTAGAATTTTATTTAAGGGGTGTTTACATACATAGCTCACAATTCTTATATATAACATATCTTACACCTAAACTTTCATATTTACATACATAGCACTCAAATCTTTAATATCATATCAAAAATAGCATATTAAAACTTTTTAAAAGTGAAATACACATTTTCATGCATAGGTTTAAAGCATCAAAGTGTTGTGTATATAAAAATGAAAGTTTATGTGTGAGATATGTAAATACATAAGAATTGTGTGCTACGCAAGTAAATTTCACTTTATTTAAATGAACCAAAGTAATTACATCACAGGATTATCAGCTAAAAGTAAATTTCACTTTATTTAAATGAACCAAAGTAATTACATCACAGGATTATCAGCTAAAAGTAAATTTCACTTTATTTAAATGAACCAAAGTAATTACATCACAGGATTATCAGCTAAGTTTTATAGAAAGTCATATACTTAACAAAAGAAATGAAATGCCAACCTCATTGGAGCAAAAGCACCTGTAAACGTGACCAGAGTTCAACAAATTCTCCGCATATTGCTTATAAAGTAAATTACGTTCAGATTGACGGTAGGGGCCATAGTCTCCACCAACTCCAGGACCTATGATAATTAAAATAACTTAAATTGCTTTAAAGTCAAAAATTTGTTCTTGGATGCCAAGAAGTTCTAACAAAACTTGAATTACTTGAACAAAATAGTCATAAATACTAAAATGCTTGCACGAAATATCTAAAAGACTGGCTTTTAGAAATGAATGTTTCTCATCTGTAAATCTATGCATAGAAGCCTAATTAATATTCAAACCTAAAAGTTTGTGGAAACGTTATGAAAAATCACCCCAAATAAATTTATTTGATTAATATACATCCTCAAACTATAGAAGCATAGACCAGCCATATTTCAAGGGCATTGCAAGAGATGCATCATGAAATATAAATGTACAAGTGCTTTGGCAAATTGAGGGCTCATTGCTTATCACAAAAGTAATATATGCCCAGCAGGTTGGATTGAAAAATAAAATATACTAGATTTGTAGCCCAAGTTCATAAAAAGAACTTAAAATTCATAGAAGACGTGGTTCATCAATGCCCTCAACAAAAGAAGATGTCAAAGGAGTATAATTTCAAAAGATTTGATGCAGAAAATTTACAAAGCGAAAATAAATAGAGAAATTTACATGCATACCACACAATTTTATGTATCAACATATCTAACACCTAAAGTCTGATATATACATTTTTAAAATCTTGGTTTCATAAACCTATGCATGAAAGGATGTATTTCACTCTTTAAAAGATGGTGCTATAGTATTTTTTATGTGATGTTAATGTTGTGAATGCTATGCACGTAAATATGAGAGTTTAAGTGTAAGTTATGTAAATACATAAGAATTGTGTCGTACGTATGTAAATGCCCCAAAAATTTAACCTTACTGCAAACCTGGTTACAAACACGAAATAAAACAGCAATACCTACCAAAACATTTATGACAAAACAATTTCAAGTGTTTTTCTCCGCATTATCCAAGTGGGTAGTGAGCTTCAAAGTCCTTGTTGAAACTTGGAAATGGAAGAGAAGTACTGAATGTTTTGACTAATAACAAAGAAATCTATCAATACAAGTGCATGGCATATTATTGACACGGTTCTTCCTGGAATCTTCTTTTTCAAGCAAATTAAGAATGGACATAATCCTACACGGATGACCATTCCAGAACAAATAAGGCAGGCATCTAAAATAGTCATTTAGCTCTGTTCTTGTGATAAAAAGTTATCAAGCATAATTAAAAGATTCCAAAATCATAAAATATAGGAACTTTCGTACAGGAAAAGAGAACAACAAATAATCAAACAAAAGAAATGTCTCTGGAAATTCAACCTTCATCCCAATCAAGGCCAAGCCACATAAGATCATTCAGCATTGCTTCCTCTGACTCTTTTCTAGATCTCTCCAAATCAGTGTCTTCAATTCGAAGGACAAATTTCCCACCATTAGACCTGCAGAACAACCATTCATGGTAAAGCCGCAAATTTCTTAATGTAGTCTTGAGTTTGGAATCCTGAAGCAAAACAATCCATTACTACAGATGTAATCAGACAGATCAAATATTAGTAAACTAAGAAATTGTCAATATAGATAACGGAGCCTCTCCCTCTATGATTCCCATTTGTAATACATTTTGTGTTGCAGAATAGAAGGAAAATTTTCTGAAATTCTAAATAGTGTATAAACATTAGAAAAAGTAGAAGCATATCGATGGCAGCATCGAGCAGCTGAGTCATTCAAAATAAAATATCGAGTCCACTTGAATGGTTAAAGTTTGAATGAGCACTAGAAGCAAATATCTAAAGTTCCTTTGGCGAGTTCGAGGTTCGAGTTTTGAGGCCTAAGTAAGATTTTCCGGCCTTGGCAATTTGTTGAACCTCAATCCTAGATAAGTGCAATATGCAACTCAAGCTCCTTGGAAACCTCAAGACATTAGGATTTGAGCCGGTCCAAATCTAGCAAGTTATAAAACTAATTTAAGCTTAACAATTTGCTTAACCAGTCCTAACAATATGGGTCCACATCAATTTCGCGTATGGGAGGATCCACGATGGGAATTTTAGATTTCTACCCATCCCCAACCTAATCATCCAAATGTTGCACGTCTCCCTCTTGTCGTGTGTTAGCACTAAATGTTCAGAGAGGAGTAATTTGGCATTGTTTTTAATCCCTTTTCCTTCTCTTTCTATCACAACGCTCTACTAAGAGGAGATTCCAATGAGGTAAACCCCAACATCCTATTTTCTCCTATATTCTTTCTTTCTCATCCAGACTTTGTTTTTCTCCCATTTTTTTCTCCTATCCACATAGCCAGTTCCTGTGGAATTACCACTAAGCTCAGTGTAGCATTAGCAGAATGGAAGACATTCCTTGATCAAATTATAAATGTTCGTGAGCAGAATTTTGAAGAATAATCCATTTCAACCTTTTATTGTGAACACTATCAATAACTCCACACTAAAACACATGGTGGTCAAACATATTTATTTCAACTTCATTGATGGAATCAATTGCAAGAATGAACGGCTTTAAACAACAATTACTTCTTTTATTGATCAGAGAAAGATCATTGACGAATTCAAAGTTGGATTTCCTTCAAAGGAAATAACAGCAAGCAATGGGATCAACACAGATAAATCCTCGAAATCAGTTGCTGGCAATACTAATTTCATTGAAAAAGAGCTTCCACAAAAATCATCATGCTAGTGATTAAACCCAAGTAGAGCATAGACTTCAGTGTGAACAGCAAGTGAACCGTCATTCACAAAGATCTTGCTTCTGAAGAGAATGAAGACTCACAAGCTAACATTGAGAATAAAATCTCGATGGAGACTAGCCCTTAAAATAAATTGCATAATATTTATAAAAAATTGCATAAAGAAGTCTCAAATAATCATTTAAACATGCAAACGTCCCTCGCCAAATTAGAAATTTTCGGCAGCCAGAATGGCTATCTCGACGCCCGATTTTAAAAGAGGTTTAATTTAATTTATATATAAAATTTGAAAAAAAGTAATATTTAAATTTTTTTATCTCATATCTGCAATAGTTTAAATGATCGAGCACAACACCGTAAGCGATACATCTATCTAGAGGAATAGACATATTACTTACTAGCACGGCTCGATTAAATAAATTAAAGATTTTATGACATCTATTTTAGTTTGTGAACATTTATGTTGATCGACAAGCTCCCTTATTTAATATAGGAGATTAAATAGGGTTTATTTTAAGTTTATTTTAAGCTGGGTTCTTTTTAAGCTGGGTTCTTAAGTTCTCTATAGAGGCAAACACCTATAGTTAATTACAACTTAAATGACTGAAATTACTTAAGAAGACTCGATTAATATCAGTGGTTTTGTCTTCAAGATTGTAAAGTTTAGGTTTCCAAGGATAAATATGAGGAAATCAAAGAGAGAAAGGGCTCAAAATATGAACAGTTATTTTTCAGGAGTCAATGGAGGGAAAGGTAACGGATGTCACATATCCAGGGAGAAACCCAGTGACTTCCCAACTATCCTACGATTGGACCTTAACTCTAAGGAGACATCCTACGCCTCGTCTTCATGGTCTCGATCGTCGCCCTCCGTCTGATTGCTTCCACGTTATGCTTCTTGGGAAAACTACTCTAAGCTCCTAACAGATAGATTAGAGGCTCAAGGTTGTGGTGTGTATAAATGTACAGTTGTTGGGTCAGTGACTCACTACAGTACCTCCTAAACCAAGTGTTCTGCTGGCCTCTAACCTAAAAGTGCCCTGCAATGTAAGTCTGTAGAAACAACATGAGTTATAAAAGGGAACATGTGATGTGGCATACTAAACAACAAACGGTATTATTGCAGGCATGAATTATGTGTATATGCAATAAAGTGTGCAGTAGCAAAAGTAAACGTTGTAATCGTAAAACAAACATGTATACCTGACGAATTGGCAGCTGCCGAAAAGACTCGAGAAAAGGTAGCAGATGACCCAAAGTAACTCGAAGAAAAACGTCGAAAAAACGAGGAAAATTCGAAAAAAATCACAAGTGCTTTTTCAAAGATTTCGATAAAACCATAAGAAACATAAAAAGATCTGATTTCGATAAAAACGTGAAAACAACCATAAAAATCTGAAGAAAGAAAGAAAGTCGTAAGCATTTGGGTCGTGCTAGGCTCAGAATTAGGTATTCCCGAGAGACTCTGAAGGCAACTATCGGTCACCCGTATGTATAGAGCCCGACATTCAACTAGAAATGTGTCCTACTATACCAACTTCGGTAGTTACTCCTTAGCCTAATACAGATGATTGACAAGTGGATAATCGAATTATATTATTTAAAATTCATATTTTTTTGCATGCATATAAGTTTCATGCAAATAAAAAGTGACATCAATTTTGTAAGTTAAAATATTTTTTTGCAAATAGTGTATTTGTTCTTATCATTTTCTTTTTATTGAAAATATGATTATCCACAAGTCAATCGCAATGTTGGGGCTAGGACCACCAACAACCTAAGAAGGTAAGGGTGCTCTGCTAGTCTAGTGTAGGTGAATAATATCGTCATCCTACGTTTCACCGGGTCCCGGGATTGGGTCCCGATATTGTAGGGTGGAATATTATTTCACTCTACCACCGAATGCCTTTATCATCAAGGCCAAATAACCCAAAAACAACCGTCCAACTTACAACATTGCTTGATAGTTTCATATATAGCCAGAACTATAAACGTGCGTGCATAAGTGTTTAAAACCCAAATCAAGAAGCAATGAAAGTGAACCAAAAAGAAAGAAGGTTAACCCACCTCCAAAATCAATTTAGGGAAGAAAGGCCAAAGCAGTAAGAGGGTTAGCCTAAAACATCCACCCGGTGGGACTCTTTCAATGAGCAATGAGATAGGCACACTTCTCGATGCTAGCCAGGAACAACCCCGAAATGCACAATTTAGAGGTTTAGAGACCTCCAAGCATTTAGAGGCCTCCAAGCTATTCTCAAACCTTTCTCAAATATCAAAAGATTTTTCTTCTCTCCTTTTTTCGTCTCTTTTTATTGCAATCAATTCAGCCCAACCGCAGAATTGGGCCCTCAAACAACTCCAAACATTTAATAGATCGTTCCTCGAAAAAGGAACATTCAAATTCTGCCAAGTAACAAAGATTGAAGATTGCAATTTATAAAGATTAAAACATGTAATTCTATTTCAAATTAAAGCTTAAATGAGGTATGAGTCCCACGAAACATCAAGGAACCCAAACAGGTGCTCTCGGGTAAAAACAGCAAAGGGACCAAACAAATCAGCACCCGGAGAACCAGCCTAGCACAAAGACCCTCAAATGGGTGCTCTCGGGTAAGGCTAACAGAGAAGCCACCCAGCTGACACAAAAAGGAACCATCTAGATGCTCTCAGGTAGGGGCAACAAGGAACACATAACCACATCAGGTGACCACAGCTAATGGGCAAAGGCAACCACCACCAATAAGTTTACAGGCAGGGGACAACAACAGGGAAAACCATCAGTCACAGCACAAACAAGAGAACCACAAACAGAGACACCTCACGACCAGGAGCAGCAAGGGGAAGGCCACCAGCCAACATCAAAAGGGATCATAATCGGACGCTTACGGGCCAAGAGCAACCGGGGGAGAACATCAGCCCCAAAACAAGCTCTTCAAAGCCTTGCTCGAGACTTCTAAAAGCCACAGAAAAAAGCCGCCACAGAACCTCCAAACACCAAGCCCACAAGCACCTAGTCGAGCAAAAATTTCGGCAGAACCTCCCCAGGCTCCAAGTTTCGTAACCTCCACCGAGTTTTTTTTTACGCCCGAGAGAAAGAGGAGCTTGTAGGACTTCTCTCGACAAAGCACAACACCAAACCGAAAGCAGAATAAACGCCGCAGTTGAGACCATGACGAAGAAAGATCAGGCAGGAGGAGAAGTTTTCCCATTCGTGACCCAGGGAACAGACGCGCAGAGTCAACTTACCTCAGCGAGGATCAAAGCATCACGAAAGCCCTCCTCACCCTACGAGATGAGGCAGGCGATGCTTCGGGAAGAGGCATCTCGGGCAGAGGATGTCGGGCGAGGAGTCAAAGGCAAGGCTAAGGCTCTGTTTGGGCTGGCTCGTGACCGGGAAGAAGAGGGAGTTCGGTCGGATTCGGCTTGGGTCGCCAATGGGAGGAAAAGGGCAGACGAGGTGTGAGTGAGTTAGAGATTTAAGAAAATAAACCCCTCCCACAGCTATATAATACAAATATAACCCCTCCATAATATATATGATGTTTAAATTTGCTCGATTTACGCACCTCTCGCTCGTGCACAAAACCCTATCAAAGTGGGAGTCATTCTTAACTAAAGTCAACATTCCGGACGCGTCGGCGCGTTCTGTTTCTTCATCCGGGATCGTCTGGACGACTTCGTCGCTAGTCTGGTCGGAAACGCATCAAATTCGTATTTCGTCGAAAGAATTGTTTG